TTTAACTCACTCCAAAATTTTTTTTTATTTTCATTAAAATTTCTTGGGCAGTGCCCTCCCCACTCTATCATCTGCTCTCCTTTTGCACTCTCTCACCACTCTCTTTTCCTTTCTTTTACTCTCCATATACTCTGCTCTTCTTATAACACTTCTGCTTTGTAAAAACCTCTCATAAGCTACCTTTTTCTCTTTTATCCCCACCCTTTACTTCATCATTCCACCAATCACTCCTCTTTCCTCCTGCCCCACCCTCCTATAACCACAAACTTCTGCCCCACATTCTAATACTGCATTTTTAAAACTATTCCAACCCTCTTCAACCCCCCACTATCATCTTTGCACTAGCCCACCTTTCTGCCAATAGTCGCTTATATCTCACCCCAACTTCCTCCTCCCTTAGTTTATACACTTTCATTCCCTCTTCTTGTTGTTGCCACCCTTCCTCTTTTCCATCTACCCCCCTTTACTCTACTGAGCTAACTAAAAAATGATCCTATATCGTTGCCCCTCATAAACTGTACTCCTGGACCCTTTCCCACAACCTTTTATCCCCCAATACAAATCTAATAAACTACTTTATTACGTGCTACTCATACTTGTATTTTATTTATCCTCTTTTTCAAAAAATTGTATTATTATTACCAAATTTTTTTTTCTACCATAGCTAAATTTTAAAGGTCCCCATTTACTTTTCCCCCGGGCACCCCAAAATTTTCCTACTACTCCCTCCATAACATTTTTACCCATTTTAGCATTAAAATCCCCAACCACCTTTACTCTCACATTTGATTAAAAAACTCCCCCGATTCACTAACTTTTCCAAAATTCTCTCTCCTCTAACTTTTTTCCTTCTCCGGTCATACCGCTTATTATAAACCCACTTTTCACACCCAATCTTTATTTTACTCCCCTAACCCTTGTTTAATCTTTTATAGTCCCTCTTTTCCTGCCATGCTTTCCCTTAAACATTTTGTACTCCTTCTTTAGCTCTAACTCTATTTGAAACCCCTGACCTAATCCCTTTTATTCCTCTCCCTGAAACCTCCCACCCCTTCAGCTTTGTTTCATTAAAGCCAGGACACCCAGTTTTCTTCTCATTCTAAATCCCCATTCTTTCTTATCTCTGCACAACATCCCGCACTTAGGGGCTTCCCCCTTTGACATTTTTTTTTTATTCTTTTTAGTAATCTTTACAGGGGAAAAGGGGTTACTAGCCCATGTTCCCGGCATTTTATTGACTTTTACAACATATTGGTTTTTAATTTCCTGAAGTTCTCTATATTGGAGTAATTGAAACATCTCTTCATTGTACTTCATATTGTTTTCTGCAGCCCAGTTAAAGATTTGGTTGATGTCTGCTGCTTAATACATTTTGGCCTTTCTTTGATCAGTTTATCCTGCAACATGTAAACATTCATTATTTCTTATTCACTTACAACACTGCATTGCTTTAGACCTTTCAGCAGTTCACCTGTCAACTGAATTAACCTATCAATAGAGAGACTTTCTGCTACATCTTCTGCATCCTCAGTTATCAGTTCTTGGTGTACATTTCCAATACAATGCTCTCATCTGAATTGTCGACCTGCTCAGGACTTAATTTTTCATCTGAAACTAACTTGGCAAACTCATCAACAAGTTGAGCAGCTGCTTCCTTGTCCGCTGAATGTTCTTCACCACATGAAACTAAGCCATGTCGATCCTTGAAATGCTGCAGCCAACCTTTACTATGATCACACTCATAATCTAGTCCTGGCTTTTTCCTTCACCAGATCTCCAGACAACACCTTCGCTTACACGCAGTCTAAACCACTTCATCAGAACTTGGTCTGGTTCTGATGAACTTTCCCCCTCCTTCATTGTTCTCCGTTTATACATCTGTTTCTTTGAATTAACTGTTAAGCAGAAACTTGAATTAACAAGGAAGCTGGAGGATGGTCCTTCAGTGGCCCGGGTGTGTGTGGAGTACAGTGTAGCAAAACAGTGTCTGAAATTTGTAAAAGGAAAAACTTACTATGCTATGAATTGAAGTGCAACTACTAGCCAGTAAGCCTGAGTCATCTACATCTGCCTCACCATCTACATGTCTGTCTCCTCAGACTCGGAACAAGTTACTCTGGGTCACCTTTGACTGTTTCAGTCATATATATACGTCTTACAAGCCACTGTGTTTGACATATATATACTCATAAATTCTAGCGGCTTCAAGTCAAGAAGGAGAAAGCTGGTAGGCCCACATGTGAGAGAATGGGTCTGTGTGGTCAGTGTGCACCATATAAAAAAATCCTGCAGCACACAGTGCATAAAGAGAGAAAAAAAAAAGACTTTTTTTTTTAATTAAAATGCTGACTTTGTGGTGCATTTTCGTATAGTATTTATGATTGTATTCTCGTTTTCTTGGTCTCATTTGATAGAATGGAAAACATATTATAGAAATAGAGGTGATTTTGATTGATTTTACTATGAAAAGAACCTTGAAATGGAGCTCAAATTAGGGGAAATGTTTGATTTTTGCCGAAGTTCAAAAGTAAACAAATGTCATTTTCCAATAAATGTCCAAGTAGCCATTCTAATATGCAGTCATGAATGGGTTGACATTATTCATACAATTATTACAATATTGCATAACAGTAAATCTTCTATTTTTTTGTTTGAATAAAAATTCAAAATAGAAAGCAAGAGTAACATCAGAGGGGCCTGAAGATGTGACTGATGAACAAAGAAAATGTTATTTTAGAGCCAGAAACATCTGCATTGTTCATTCTTGACCCTATTTTGAAATTTGTCATTTTTTTAATTTTTGTGAAAGTGGCCAAATTGCAAATTTCTGACCACGTTATTGGGTAGTTGAAATTGGTAAATGGGCAGTTTCTTGTAATCAATCGATAGAAAAAATGGAGTTCTAAAGAAATAGCTATGAGTTTGGTCGACTGGAACAATGGAATTAGCCAAAAATAGGGCTCAAAGTAGGCAAAATTGCCAATTCGTAAATATCGCCACAGTTGCTAACTTTGCAAGAGCGCAATTCTGTCAGTTTTCCATCAAATTTCATTCTTTTGGTGTCATTACAATCGGGAAAAGATTCTCTCTCATTTCATAAGAAAAATAATTTTGGGGGGGAAATTTTACGACACCTGGAGACACCTTAGGATTTGGGGTTGCGACAGTCAAGGGATTAAACCACATGGGAATACTGTACTTTATCTGTAAGCTCATCTATCTGCCAGAAAAGATAAGAATAATGACTATTCTACTGTATTGTACTGTAGTTTTTATTGATTTTATTTTCAAGTACAGTGGACCCCCGGTTAACGATATTTTTTCACTCCATAAGTATGCTCAGATGCCAGTACTGACCGAATTTATTCCCATAAGGAATATTGTGAAGTAGATTATTCCTTTCAGACCTCCAAACATACACGTACAAACGCACTTACATAAATACACTTACATAATTGGTCGCATTTGGAGGTAATCGTTATGCGGGGGTCCACTGTATATTTACGGGTAATATTGCATTGTACTCTAGTTTAGTCTTAGTATGTCTGGTAGTCCATCAATACAATGGACTAAGTGTTTTACCAGGCCTTTGTCCATGTTCATTAGTCAACTGAATAAGTGGATTACATCCACTCAATTAACTCGTGCAATATAACAGATTTTTTGATAAAGCAAACACCCCTCCCAATCCCCTCCCCACTGATCCACTATAGCCTCTCCTCACTTAATGACGGAGTTCCATTCCTAAGAACACATCGTTTAATGAATTCATTGCTAAGGGAAGAGCATACTATAATGGTAGTGAGTGTCAACCATCTGTGATATTCTTTTAATGTCACCTATGCACCATTTATAACATTTCTGGTATATGTTTAAATGCTTATACAGTAATGTACTGTACAGTGGACTCACGGTTTTCGTAATTAATCCGTTCCAGAGAGAGTGACTAAACCCGAATCTGACTTATTCCGAATTAATTTTCCCCATAAGAAATAATGGAAATCCAATTAATCCATTTCAGACACCCAAAAGTGTTAACAAAAAATATTTTCTAAATGAAATATACATTTATCTACACAGAAAACAATGATACATGAAGAATAAAACAATAACAACATCACACTTACCTTTATTGAAGACATGGTGATGTATTGAAGATGGGAGGAGGGAGGAGGATGGAGGAGTTTACAATTGTTTGGAAGGGGAATCCCCTTCCATAAACACTTCAGGTACCAAGTCCTTATCCTGGGTTACTTCCCTTCTTTGGTTTTTAATGCCACTAGGACCAGCTTGAGAGTCACTGGACCCCTGTCACTCAAAACAAAGTGTTCTAGGGAGGTCTGCTTCTGGCGGATGTTAGGAATTGTGTTGGGAGACAGGACAAGATAGTCCTTCAATATCAAATCAAGTTTATTCTCTATAAGGATTACAATGCTGAGTTTACAGAATTTGGATATTGTGTGGTTTACATGTTTTAAAATACTAATTACAGAGGGGGCCACTAGAACACCTAGCATGGATAGGCATTTCGGGTAGACTTAGATTAATTCTTAACTTTAAAATATTACAAATTATGAGGTAAGTTGGTATTATGGCTAAGTGACTAAATACTAGTTTGTGAGTTTAGCAATGTGAATGCTTTTGTTTTTGCACAATACATAGTTTCAGTATTGGAGTATCACAGGCCAACTTATGACTAGTTAGGATTCATTGTTTTAAGATTAAGATTGATATTTCTGTGTTTATGGTCAAATGGGTGAGTGTAAGTGTGAACCACCAGCTCTATTATACATTATTTAGGTATGAATACTTGTCAGAGAACCCGTCCAAAGTCCGAGGCGTCGGTAAATGAGTACATCGCTAAGTGAGGAAAGGCTGTATATCAAACCTTAATTGTATTAAAAAAAGAGCAAGTACATGGGGAAAAAAAAATGGTGTTTTACTTCACAAATTACAATATCAATAATTTTAAATAGCTATATTTGAATAATAAAACTTACTTCCAAAGTTTCAGCATGTTCCTCTGAAGAATATTACTCAACTCCTGCTCCTTTTTGGAAATTTTTTTAATGCCTGATAACCTTGAAAGATAAAAATATGATTAATTTTTTATAAACTGATATAATACATTCTATACTGCTGTAAAAAGTAAACAAAACTGATTACAAAAATGCAACTGATGTAATAAAAAGTTAAGCATTTTAAAAAATATGCAGTTACCTAAAAGTCCTGTTATGTGACCAGACTGGAACAGAGAATAGATCAAAAGTAAGCATATACAACAGTTTCATAGATAGACTGTTACAGCATTTTTTAGTAGTACACTGGTCATCTTCCACTGAGGAAGGTTGAAAAATATTTCAGTCACTCATTTAATGGCAGTGTTGTTAGAAGTGCACTAGCATCATAGTTCAGATGGCTCTTTCAGCATCTACACTCCTCAAGAGTGCAGCCTCTGTACAGTAATTATATGGGAATAATAGGAATGGTTTCCAGACGCTAACCACAGACCCAGATTTTTTCCCCACTTACCAGCCCATGCTATATATTATTTTAAATAACATTCCAGTTATTAAAATCTCGCATATGTATAGCAAAAAAGAAAAAGCCTCAGTATATTTCATCTACTTGAGGATTTATCAAGCAGTACACATTATCAAAACAACTACAGGACTCAGTCAGTCAGTTGGTGGGGAAGGTCTAGATCCTGGCCCACCACCTGACAGCTCCACACCACTACACTAGGTGTCAATGTTATTGTAGTCTATATGATTGATATGCCCTCATACAGGCAAATAGCAGCAGCAGCAACAGCAGCAGGAATAACACTAGTAGCAATAGCAGCAGCAGCAATAGCAGCAGCAGCAATAGCAACAGCAATAGCAGCAACAGCAATAGCAGCAACAGCAATAGCAGCAACAGCAGCAAGCAACAGCAGCAATAGCAACAATAGCAGCACCAGCAATAGCAGCAGCAATAGAAGCAGCAATAGCAGCAGCAGCAACAGCAGCACCAGCAATAGCAGCAGCAATAGCAGCAACAGAAGCACCAGCAGCATGATGATTAATATTTTTATTATTATCTCCTTTTGCTCTGTGCATCTTAAAAGAAAGAAAATGCACATGTTGAAGTTTATTTATGGATGGCATTTTAACCCTTCAACTGTGGGACACATTGAAAAAAAAAATTCTTAGTCTGTGGGAAGATTTAAAGAAAATAAAAATTATTTGCACATTGATAGAAATCATTTCTCTGAACCAAATGAGGTTAAAATGATTGAAATCTGATAAAATCTACCATTTTATGGTGCAATGAAGTTGGTTAAAAATGATCACTCATCAGCAACAACAGCGGAAAAGCGCCACCGATAATTTACATTATACAAATTACAGATGCCATGGTTATTTTTCATTTTTTTAATTGCTTTCAATGTTTAACACCACTAGTTTCTTATATAGTAGACCCTCGAGTTTCGTGATTAAACCGTTCCAGAGAGTCTACTGAAAGTTGGAATTCATTAATGTCGAAACCATTTTCCCCATGAGAAATAATGTAAAGTCAATTAATCTGTTCCAGACACCCAAAAGTATTAACAAAAATTTTTTTTAATAGATTAAATATAGATTTACATACAGAAAAGAATGAGAAATCAAGTATAAAACAATAATATTACATTTACCTTTATTGAAGACTCTTGTTGGTGTATAGAAGACAGGAGGAAGGGTGAGGATGGAGAAGTTAAACTATTGTTTGGAAAGGGAATCCCCTTCTATAAGGACTTTAGGTACAAAGTCCTTATCTGGGGTTACTCCCCTTCTTTGGTTTTCAGTGCCACTAGGACCAGTTTGAGAGTCACAGGACCCCTGTCACTCAAAAAATTGTTCCATAGGGCTCTGTTTCTGGCATCTCTAAAATTTGCCTAAAATGGGACAAGGCATTGTCATTGTACATGCTGCCGACACAGCTTGCAACATCTTTGTTAGGGTGAAGTTTCTCTACAAATGTTTGCAGCTCACTCCACATTGCACAAATCTCCTTAATCTCTGAAGACACCACCTTCCTCCATCCATCTCTCTTCCTCCTCCTCTGAAGCAATTTCCTCAGCTGTGCTCTGCTGCTGTTGCAGATGAAGCTCTTGCAGCTCTTCAGTGGTTAGCTCTTCATTGTGGTCCTCCACTAACTCTTCCACATCCTGGCCACTCACATCCAACCCCATGGAATTCCCCAATGCCACAAAAGATTGCACAACAGGTGTAGGGTCGACAGGGTCAGCCTCAAACCTTTCAAAATATTCTGGCCACAATTTTCTCCAAGCAGAGTTCAAAGTCCTTCCAGAACTCTCTTAGGGTCAACTGAGTGTCTAAGGTCACATCAAAGCGCCTTTGAAACATTGCTTTGGTGTAGAGTTTTTTGAAGTTTGAAATGATCTGCTGGTCCATGGGCTGGATGAGAGGAGTGGTATTAGAGGGCAAGAACTTCACTGTGATGAACTTACACTCCTCAAACAATAGGTCTTCCATGTCTGGAGGATGAGCAGGAGCACTGTCCATTACCAGGAGGCATTTAAGTGGCAATTTATTTTCCAGGAGGTATTTCTTCATATTCGGGCCAAACACTTCATTGACCCACTCGATGAAAATTAGCCTCATGACCCATGCCTTAATGTTAGCCTGAACAGAGAATCGATTTCCTACCTTCATATCTTCTCTATTAACTCTCTCATCTTCCTTCTTCCCGAACTGTGAACCACTTGCCGCTTAGAGCGGCTGCCACTGTCACTGCTGGCGACCATTCCTTCCTTACCAACTAAATCCTTCTCACACTCGCTCTCAAACTCATCTATGCGAAGCTTCAGCTTCCTATTTTCCTCCTGAAGAAGTAGAATCTCCTTCTTCAACACTTGAACCTGAGATTCTAAAACACTACAACAAGCCATGGTGATTGGTAACAGCCCATGTTAACACTGTGTCTAATTCTTCATCTTGTTGGTCTTATATACCATTCATATACAACTTGTCAGACACTGCAACATCATGGAATCTTAATACAGAGGACATCTCCACAACATTCTTGCTTACTCCTGGCCCATCACCGAGAAATTCTGCTATCAGTGACAATGTCTTCGTCTGCTGCACGTCCCTCATGTGATGCCAGTGTATAAGCAACAATCTTACTGCCTGTGCTTCAAACTCAAGAGTAAGATGCTCTTCACCATCTCAAAGGATGAGGGACTGATTACGTTGGTGGACTCTTACTGGTAATTAATCAAAAACTACAGGTGGGAGAAACAGTAAAAATCCTTAGCATTTTCCCCAGAACTCAAGATGCAGAAAAATGTCTTGGGTTTGGCTCAAGTTACAGGTCTCTGCTGTCAGGTCCATGGAAGGTTCACCTGGAATCTTACTGCCCATATCCAAGATGAAGGAGGCAACTGTTGGCACAGGTAGAATCCATGTAAATATATCCAGGATCAGAATACATGAAGTATGAGGGGAAGGGGCGATTTCTTCAGATATGTAATGATAGTGGCAATGATAGAGCCTGGCCCATGGCCGGGCTCTGAGAGTACAGTAGACCCCCAGTTTTCGTAATTAATTCATTCCAGAAGATTGGTCTAAATCCAAAATGGCCGAAAACCGAAGTAATATTTCCCACAAGAAATAATGTAAATCCAATTAATCCGTTTCAGACACCCAAAAATATTAACAAAAATACACTTTGTAGAGAATAACTATAGTTTTACATACAGAAAACAATGAGAAATAAATGTAAATGGCTAATTTTAATGATAAATGAACATTACATACCTTTATTGACGAATCTTGTTGGCGAGTAGTACTTATTTGTAATCCCAGACGGACTACATCCCAGGCGTATACCTACTGGCTACATACACTGTGGCCAACAGCCCTATTATTACCACTGACATACCATGTTCACTGAGTTTAATCGTTTCTAACAACTACCTTTAGAAGCCAAAACAAACAAAGGGAGAAGTAAAGAATAATTCATGCCGAGAATTGTAAACAAAAGCTTATGTATTAAGGGCAGTTACTTTGCCAACGCAGATTCATACAGTTTTCTCTAATGCTGGACCAGAGAAAATGTAATGTTTACCCTCCACCCGACCCCACCCCTCAACAGCACGTAAACAGTGCATATTTATATGCACCTAGGTACCTAGGGATTGGCAGAGAGCATGCATAGTTCCTTTGTATAAAGGCAAAGGGGATAAAAGAGAGTGCAAAAATTATAGGGGGATAAGTCTGTTGAGTGTACCTGGTAAAGTGTATGGTAGAGTTATAATTGAAAGAATTAAGAGTAAGACGGAGAATAGGATAGCAGATGAACAAGGAGGCTTTAGGAAAGGTAGGGGGTGTGTGGACCAGGTGTTTACAGTGAAACATATAAGTGAACCCGTATTTAGATAAGGCTAAAGAGGTCTTTGTGGCATTTATGGATTTGGAAAAGGCGTATGACAGGGTGGATAGGGGGGCAATGTGGCAGATGTTGCAAGTGTATGGTGTAGGAGGTAGGTTACTGAAAGCAGTGAAGAGTTTTTTACGAGGATAGTGAGGCTCAAGTTAGAGTATGTAGGAAAGAGGGAAATTTTTTCCAGTAAAAATAGGCCTTAGACAAGGATGTGTGATGTCACCGTGGTTGTTTAATATATTTTAGATGGGTTGTAAGAGAAGTAATGGGGGTCTTTGGGAGAGGCGTGGAGTTAAAGATAAAGAATCACACACAAAGTGGGGGTTTCACACTGCTTTTGCTGATGACACTGTGCTTGAGATTTTGAAGAGAAGTTGCAGAGATTGGTGGCATGAATTGGTAGGGTGGCAAAAGAAGAAAATTAAAGGTAATACAGGAAAGAGTTTAAAGGGTTTTGAGGATAACAAAAAGATTGTGATGAAGATTGAATATCAGATTGGAGGAGAGAGTATGGAGGAGGTGAACGTATTCAGATATTTGGGAGTGGAACGTGTCAGCGATGGGTCTATGAAAGATGAGTGAATCATAGAATTGATGAGGGAAAAAGAGTGAGTGGTGCACTTAGAGTCTGTGGAGACAAAGAACTTTGTCCTTGGAGGCAAAGAGGGGAATGTATGAGAGTATAGTTTTAACCCAACGCTCTTATATGGGTGTGAAGCGTGGGTTGATGAATGTTGCGCGAGGATAAGGCTGGAGGCAGTGAGAATTCATGTCTGAGGGCAATGTGTGGGTGAATAAAATGCAGAGAATTCGTAGTTTGGAAGTTAGGAGGAGGTGCGGGATTACACAAACTAGTTGTCCAGAGGGCTGAGGAAGGGTTGTTGAGGTGGTTCGGACATGTAGAGAGAATGGAGCGAAACAGAATGACTTCAAGAGTGTATCAGTCTGTAGTGGAAGGAAGGCGGGTAGGGTGTTCGGCCTAGGAAGGGTTGGAGGGAGGGGGTAAAGGAGGTTTTGTGTGCGAGGGGCTTGACTCCAGCATGGCATGCTTGATGCGTGTTTTGATAGGAGTGAATGGAGACAAATGTTTTTAATACTTGACGTCTGTTGGAGTGTGAGCAAAGTAACATTTATGAAGGGATTCAGGGAAACCGGCAGGCCGGACTTGAGTCCTGGAGATGGGAAGTACAGTGCCTGCACTCTGAAGGAGGGGTGTTAATGTTGCAGTTTAAAAACTGTAGTGTAAAAGCACCCATTCTGGCAAGACGTGATGGAGTGAATGATGGTGAAAGTTTTTCTTTTTCGGGCCACCCTGCCTTGGTGGGAATCGGCCGGTGTGATAAAAAAAAAAAAAAAAAAAAAAAAAAAAAAAAAAAAAAAAAATTTATATGCTATGTAACGTGTTTCTTATAGTATAATTTTGAAGAAAATATCACAGATGGATTAATAAAAATGTCTATATTAACGTAAAATAAGACATTTAATTTGCCCAAGAGTGAGTCATGAATGTATAAGAGGCCCAGGTGGACGTGTCTGGTACAGTCAATTTCCGAGCTGATGTACAAGACCCGGGGGGAAATTTCGCTGAAGAGTGCTCAAAATCAAATTGTACAATTTGCGCACTGGCCAAAAACTGGGGGTCCACTGTAATTAACCTCTCGAAAGGTAAGGATTGCAAAAGATTCTCCCTTTCAAGTTTGCACCAGACTGCAGCAAGCCAGAAATAATGTAGTTATAATGTCTCCCCCATCCTGTCTTTCTTCTTATAACTCCACTTTTCAGCTCAGGCCAATTTCACACAAATTTCAAAAGACACCAATTTCAAAATAGGGTCCAGAATAAACAATGCAGACATTCTTGGCACTGAAATAACATTTTCTCTGTTCATTAGCCATGTCTCCAGGCCCCTCTTTTATTACTCTTGCTTTCCATTTTAAATTTTTATTGACCCCCAAAACCCTCTCCAGGTAAACTCCAGGTAAACACAAAAAAATAGAAGATTTACTGTTATGCAGACTACAGTGGACCCCTGGTATTCGATAAATCCGGTATTCGATGCATTATATCGCAAAAAAATTTCCTCGGTATTCGATTGAAAACCCGGTATTCGATATGACTCGTACGAGACCTGTCCATGTGTGGCCTGAACTGCCCCGTGTGTGCCAGTGTTTACAAGCCAGCCAGTGTGCACGCATCTAAGGATACATTCGGTACATTCCATATTATCCATATTATCACTGTGTTTGGTGCTTGTTTCTGCAAAATAAGTCACCATGGGCCCCAAGAAAGCTTCTAGTGCCAACCCTTCGAGAAAAAAGTCGCTAATGACTTATGAAATGAAGAAAGAGATAATTGCAAAGTACGAAAGTGGAGTGCGTGTGTAGGAGCTGGTTAGGTTGTATAATAAACCCCAATCAACCATCTCTACTATAGTGACCAGGAAAACGGCAATCAAGGAAGCTGTTCTTGCAAAAGGTGCAACTGTGATTACAAAACAGCGACCGCAAGTGTTAGAAAATATTGAGAGACTGTTATTGGTGTGGATAAATGAAAAACAGATAGCAGGAGATAGCATCTCTCAAGCGATCATTTGTGAAAAGACTAGGCAGTTGCATGACGATTTGGTAAAGAAATTGCCTGCAACTAGTGGTGATGCGAGTGAATTTAAGGCCAGCAAAGGTTGGTTTGAAAGATTTAAGAATCGTAGTGGCATACATAGTGTGATTAGGCATGGTGAGGCTGCCAGTTATGTTGTGCGACAGAAGTCCAGTGACTCTCAAGCTGGTCCTAGTGGCATTAAAAGAAGAAGGGAAGTAACCCCGGAAAAGGACTTGCTACCTCAAGTCCTAATGGAAGGGGATTCCCCTTCTAAACACTAACACCTCTCCCCTCCTCCCATCCCATCAATCATCACCAGATCTTCATTAAAGGTAAGTGTCAATTATTTTATTGTTATTGTAATTATTCTTTTGCATTAAACTTAATATTTCATGTAGTTAAATTTTTCTTTTTCATACTTTTGGGTGTCGTGCATGGATTAATTTGATTTCCATTATTTCTTATGAGGAAAATTGATTCGTTTTTCGATATTTTCGGTATTCCATGAGCTCTCAGGAACAGATTAACATCGAATACCGGGGGTCCACTGTACTGCATTATTGTAATAATTGTATAAATAATGTCAATCCATTTGTGACTGCTTATCAGACTGACCAGTTGGATGTACATTGAATGGTGACATCATTTGTTTACTCTTCAACATTGGCAAAAATTGAACATTTCCAATACTTTGAGCTCAATTTTAAGGTACTTTCTATCTAGAAACCAATCAAAATCATCTCTATTTCTGTAATATATCTTCCATTCTATAAAATGAGACCAAGAAAACGAGAATACAACCATAAATACCATATGAATATATACCTCAAAGTCGGCGTTTCGAACCAAAAATACGGCTGGAGTTTTTTTTTTCTTGTTATGCACTGCATGCTGCAAGATTTTTTTTATACAGTGGTACCTTGACTTACAAGTTTAATTCTTTCCATGGCCAAGCTTGTAACTCAATTTGCTCATATATCAAATCAATTTTCCTCATTGAAATGTCATTAATCCATTCCAGCCCCCAAAAAACCACCCCAATTTTTTTGTTATGGGTTTTTAAATAAGAAATATGTATTTATAAATAAATAATAATGTATGAAAACATACAACATAATAAATGGAATGTAAAGAAAAATTGGTTTTATAAAGTGTATTTACCTTTGAGATCAGACGACTTAGGCTAACGGAAGATGCTGGAGGTGGTGGAGGGAGGAAAAGTTAGGCAGTGTTTTTCCTTTCAATAAACTCTGAAGCTCTCTCCCAGATTCCCAACATTTCTGGAGTTATAGACTTTATTGACTCCTCCTGCTTTAGTATGGTACATATCGTAGAAGTACTATGCTCGTACCGCCTCGCCAAGTCGACTACACGCATACTTAAATTCAATGGACATCCTCCTCCTCTCCTTCTCAACACTGTCCTTTGCACTTTACTTTCTTAGGACCCATGGTTAGAAAAAAGAAATTTGGCAAAATAACTGCACAAAAAGGACAAAACTCAAGCACAACACAGAAAGGCTTCCATGGCGAGGTAACCATGTGCACTGAACAAGTGAGAGCAGGATGCTGGGCAGATGTTATGGCATTTGCTGCGCCAACTAGTGGTGGCGTATCTGAAGCTAGCTCGTAACTCGGATTTTGGCTCGAAACTCAAAGCAAAAAAACTGACCAAGTGATGGCTCATAACTCGGAAAACTCATAAGTTGGGGCACTCTCAAGTCAAGGTACCACTGTACTGTGCACACTGACCATGCAGACCCATTCTCTCATGCATAGGTCTACCAGCTTTCTCCTGCTAATTTGAAGCCACTAGAATTTTTGGCATATTAATTAATACAACACCAACACTGGCTTGCAAGCCATACTAATACAACACTGACAGCGAAAGGGTTAAAGGTTCCCCATTTACATTTACCCCTGGCACCCCAAATTTACCTACTACTCCCTCCACAACACTTTTACCCACTTTAGCAATGAGATTCCCAACCACAAGTAGTCTCGACTCACTTGGTTTAAAACTCCTCATGCACTCATTCAACATTTCTCTCTCTCTCCTCTACACTTCTCTCTTATCCAGGTGCATAAACACTTACTATAACCCACTTTTCACATCTAACCCTTATTTTACTCCACATAATCCTTGAATTTATACATTTATATTCCCTCTTTTCCTGCCATAACTCATCTTTCAACATTAGTGCTACTAATGTTAATTTATTAGTGATAAAAGATATACAGCATTAACATGGTGTCCAATACTTTGAAATAACTAGCATGACCTTTGTTCTGACAAAGCCTATATCTAGAACGAACTACTTACTATCAAAAGATACATATACATACACATGAGCACAGGTCTGGAGAGTGAGGCTGGGCACAAACAGTTGGTGGTAGTTAGAGGCATTCATGTCTCTGTCTTTCAGTACTTCCTCAAGTATTTTGTCTGGAAAAAAAAAAAGCTGCAGCAGAGAATACCCCAAGGGATCACACAAAGCAAGACATCAGACACGTCACTCGCTCACTTTTAAAGACATTTATCTCAACATAAGTCCTATCACTCACTCAATTAAACAGCTCTTACCACTGTATGTAAAAATCTGAGCATCTTGTTCAACAATATGTTTTGAAAATGGTATAAAATAACTACAAGACATGTGCAACAGTTAGGTATCTTTATTGTCGAGACGTTTCGCCTATGCAGTAGGCTTCTTCAGTCAAATACAAAGAAGCCTACTGCATAGGCAAAATGTTTCAACAATAAAGATACCAAACTGTTGCACATGTGTCTTAATCATCAGCTGTCTGTCAGTAGTTTCAAGGTAGGAATAAAATATATGGATCTTTGGGATGGATGAATGTAGGCATTTTACCAGAAACCAAGAAACACTGTATCCACATAAGACTCCTTAATAGAAGTCTTCACATAGTAAAACTTAAACTGCCCATTAAACCTTTATTTAATAAACCTCAGAAAATGGTACAAAACCTGCTAGGTGAACCCAATTTACAAACTACAATTCTCTATTATTGTTACAATCACAGCTAAACAATCAAGATCCACCACAACTGCTGTTACTAGCTACCCACGTTCTCCCTCCCTCTCCCCCTCTCTAGTTACTTCAGAGAAGCAAGTCTTGAATTGAAATATTTCAACTAAGAATATACATAATTATTGATGTTGCTATAGTGTTAAACCTTTTCTCATCACAAATAATTATTTAAAGGGTTGTGCCTGCACTCTGGGGGAGAGGCAAGAAGGGTGGTGCCTGAACTCTGGGGGGCAGGAAGGGCAGTGCCTGCACTCTGGGGGGAGGGCAGGAAGGGTGGTGCCTGCACTCTGGGGGAGGGCAGGAAGAGTGGTGCCTGCACTCTGGGAGGGGCAGGAAGGGTGATGCCTGCACTCTGGGAGGGGCAGGAAGGGTGGTGCCTGAACTCTGGGGGGGGGGAGGAAGGGTTGGTGCTCGATCTGGGGGGGGAAGGGCAGTGCCTGCACTCTGGAGGGGGGTGGGAATGGCAGTGACTGCACTCTGGGGGGAGGGCAGGAAAGGTGTGCCTGTACTCTGGGAGGGGCAGGAAGGGTGGTGCCTGAACTCGGGGTTGGGGGGGGAGGAAGGGTGGTGTCTGCACTCGGGGGGGGGGGGCAGGAAAGGGTGGTGCTTGAACTTGGGGAGGGGGGAAGGGCAGTCCCTGCACTCTGGGAGGGCAGGAAAGGCAGTGCCTGCACTCTGGGGGGGAGGAAGGGTGGTGCCTGAACTCTGGGGGTAGGAAGGGCAGTGCCTGCACTCTGGTGGGGGACAGGAAGGGTGGGAAAGGCAGTGCCTGCACTCTGGGGGGGGAGGAAGAGTGATGCCTGAACTCGGGGGGGAGGGCAGGAAGGGCAGGAAAGGCGGTTCCTGCACTCGGGGGAGGGAGGAAGGGTGGTGCCTGAACTCTGGGGGAGGAAGGGCAGTGCCTGCACTCTGGGGGGGATGGCAGGAAGGGTGGTGCTTGAACTTGGGGGGTGGGAAGGGTGGTGCCTACACACTGGGGGCGAGAAGGGCGGTGCCTGCACTCTGGGGGGGGGGGGGCAGGAAGGGCAATGCCTGCACTCTGGGCAGGAAGGGCAGTGCCTGCACTGTGGGGGGTAGGAAGGGTCATACCTGCACTCTAGGGGGTGGGAAGGGCAAAATTAAAGTTATCAGGCCTGTTGTGGCATGCTAGAGTATATTTTATTCAGCACATGTCACATACCCATATAGGCATGCCCTCCTGTACAGTGAACTAGATGCTAAGACTAACAAGTGAGGTCCCTTTATTACGCTAGCACCTTGGTTCAACCCAGCCAATCACAAGGACCCGCAAAGGATGTGAAGTGATGAAGACCAATGAATCAACACTGGCAGACGTACCTCTAGTCTGGTTGCCCACATTTCTCACTGTTTCTTGCTTACAAAACTTGCTTTGTACAGATTGTATATAAATTGTGCATACACTTGCATGCTGTTTGGTGAAGGAAATACATACAAGTACTTACTCACTTCTGACCCTTTCTCGTTCCTCATTTCTACATTGGTGTTCATGCTACAACCAGGTGTGCTGGCGATAAGACTACATCTGTGTTCATAATAGCTACCCAACCCTGATCCTGAGTTGAAACTATATTTTATTTTATTTGCCAGTGAACAATGTAACCTTTAAACTCTTTTAGCAAAGTTCTTCCATTTGCTTACATATCTGCCAAAGAAAAATCTTGAAGCATTTACTGAAATTGCTTAAGGTAAATGATTTGTCATATCACCTTAAAAAGCCAAGTTAACATCAATAAAGACTAACCTAAAGATTCTTCCAACATGGCTGTGTGATGTATAAGCAGCAGCCACTTGGACTTGAGTATAAGAGCAGCATCGTCATTCAGGATAGTCAAAAGAGAGTTGTACACACCAAAACTGTTAAGAAAAACAGAAAAGTTATACATGTGTGTGTATTCATACAAACTCATCTTTCATAAGAAAAAATATGGTCAATTTTATTGCCCCAAGTTCACAGTGGGTTATGTTATTAGAGGTCTAGCAAGCCTAAAATTTGTGATTACAAAATTATGATTGCATAAATAATTTTGTTTCACATCTAAGCTTATTTTGTACTTCACAGATCATGTCTCTTTACACACCACTAACATGGTTAAAAAAAAAAAAAAAAAAAAAAAAAATAAATGGTCAGGTGTCATCTTCCATCCCCCCCCAAAGAAAAATTAAAGTACGGTGAAAAAAAAAAATTAAAATACAGTGGAACCCCAGATTTTGGCCGTAATCCATTCAGGAAGGTTGGCCTAAATCCGAAAAGGCAGAACACCTAAGTAATATTTCCCATAAGAATTAATGTAAAGTGGTACCTTGACTTACGAGTTTAATTCGTTCCGTGACCGAACTTATAACTCAATTTGCTCATATATCAAATCAATTTTCCTCAATGAAATTAAATGAAATGCCATTAATCCGTTCCAGCCCAAAAAAAACCACCCCAGGGGCAGGAGAAAATACTTCAATATAACACTAAATATCAAATCTATGGCTTACTTATCTATCAGAATTGATCTAATATGACATAATAAGTAACAAACATTATATATACTCTAGAATGAATAAAATAGACCATAATATGTCCAGTGTCCAGGACCAGTCCGAGCATACAAAATCATTACTGCTCCTTCTTAAAATGTGTTCTTTGGTCCTGGGTAAGAGAAAACAGAGTTTTTGAGAGGCTAACTGCACTATTTATTTATTTATTTATTTAGAAATTTTAGCATACATACAGAGGTACAAAAAAATACAGGTAAGAGCAGCATGCCAAAGCCACTTATATGCATAGCATTACGGGCTGGCTTAAAATTAACTTAAGATTAACTAAGCAATGATGAAATCAGTGTTAAGACATTATTGTAAACAGATAACTATAAAATACAAATGAGTATTACAAAGACAGGTCATATGGTTGCATGCATTGCTGTTCATTCAGTAGAATGGAGTATTTTGTTAGGTAGTGTACCCTGTATTTAAAAAAAAATAAAGTTAGGTTTAACATTTGTGTGATATAATTGTGAGTAACATTTAGGATATACAATTTATATGGTTCAGTTATTCAGTATTTATTTGGTTTTGAGTGAGTAAGTGAACTTTGAGAAGAGACTTGAATTTATAAACAGGTAGTGTTATATTTACTAGATCACTAGTGCAGTGATATATGAATATCTCAGAAGTGAGTTATTGACTTATTTCATGAAGCCCACCATTTATTACTGAAATAAATAATATTGACAGGAATCACAAAAAAATTATTGTTCCACAATTGGCTTGTGGAATATTGGAAATATTCCAAATATTTTGGGATTTGTGTGGGAGTAAAAGGCAAGTTATTTTGTACATGTCAAAAATTTAGCAACTTCATTTGTTTTTGGAAATCAACTAAAGATAATTACACGATTACCTCCAGTGAGAACATCGCACTAACATTGTTTCATAAGTACCAAGTCCCAAAACCACCTTTTGTTGTGCCATTCAGGCCAGGGTTCTTGCCAAATGTCATTATCAGTAAATACTTTTTATCGCTCATAACTCAGATTTTGGCTCGCAACTCGAAGCAAAAAAATCGACCGAGCGACTGCTCGTAACTCGGAAAACTTGTAAGTTGGGGCACTCGTAAATTGAGGTACCACTGTACAATTAATTGGTTCCAGACACCAAAAAATATTAACAAAAAAATACATTTTTTTTAAAGATTAACTATAGTTTTACATACACAAAACAATGAGAACTAAATAAAATGACTAATGAAATGGATAAATGAACATTTAACATCACATTTACCTTTACTGAATATTCTTGTTGGTGTATGGAAGACAGGGAGGAGAGAGGGAGGACTGATTATTGTTTGCAAGGGTAATCCCACTCCCTAATGACTTCAGGTATCAAGTCCCTATCCCAAGTTACTTCCATTCTTTTTCTTTTACTGGCACTTGGACCAGCTTGACAGTCTCTGCACCCCTGTCGCACAAAAAAAAACTGTCCAGAGAAGTCTGTTTCTGGCACCTCTAAGATTTGCTTGAAGTGGGACAAGGTTTTGTCACTGAACATGTTGCAGATATGGCTTGTTTCAGCTTGGTCAGGGTGATATTTCTGCACAAAACTTTGCACCACCCTCCACTTTGCACAAATGTCCTTAATTGCTGAAGAAGGCACCTTTTTCCCTCTCTCTTCCTCCTCCTCTGAACCAACTTCCTCAGCTGTGGTGTGTTGCTGTTGCAGCTGAAGGTCTTGCAGCTCTTCAATGGTTAGTTCTTGGGCCCATGGTGGCTTATTTTGCAGTTGCACTAAATAAACAACCACAAAAAACAATGGATTACAATGAAATGTTTGGATGAATACACAGTTTGTTGCTCACTCACCAAGAGAGAGAGCCAGAATGACTTCTGCACATGGCATGGCGGGCAGATACATCCAATATGGCCAATTTCCGAGTTGCCGGCTGAAATCCAGGATAGAATTTCAACCAAAAATGCGGCCAAAAATCCGATTTGGCCAATATCTGCACCGGCCGTTATCTGTGGGTCCATTGTAATTCAATTTTGGGTTTTTCCAACATTAAAAGCATTGGATAATCTAATTTCTCACACTGGCAACCCTAAAATTTGAGGCACTAATTGTATTTAGTGAAAAAAATAACAGCAGAGTTCCTCAATTTCAGTGCAGTGTGCGTTGTACGGCATGAAGTGCTCTACTATATCCCTCAACATCCAAGGAAAATTGAGGGATACATCCCAAAAGAAATTCTTCAGTGTTTAGTTGGCAAATACAAACCTAATACATTTTTTATTTATTATCACACTGGCCGATTCCCACCAAGGCAGGGTGGCCCGAAAAAGAAAAACTTTCACCATCATTCACTCCATCACTGTCTTGCCAGAAGGGCACTTTACACTACAGTTTTTAAACTGCAACATTAACACCCCTCCTTCAGAGTGCAGGCACTGTACTTCCCATCTCCAGGACTCAAGTCCGGCCTGCCGGTTTCCCTGAACCCCTTCATAAATGATACTTTGCTCACACTCCAACAGCACGTCAAGTATTAAAAACCATTTGTCTCCATTCACTCCTATCAAACACGCTCACGTATACCTGCTGGAAGTCCAAGCCCCTCGCACACAAAACCTCCTTTACCCCCCTCCCTCCAACCTTTCCTAGGCTGACCCCTACCCCGCCTTCCTTCCACTACAGACTGATACACTCTTGAAGTTATTCTGTTTCGCTCCATTCTCTCCACATGTCCGAACCACCTTAACAACCCTTCCTCAGCCCTCTGGACAACAGTTTTGGTAATCCCGCACCTCCTCCTAACTTCCAAACTATGAATTCTCTGCATTATATTCACACCACACATTGCTCTCAGACATGACATCTCCACTGCCTCCAGCCTTCCTCCTCGCTGCAACATTCATCACCCATGCTTCACACCCATATAAGAGCGTTGGTAAAACTATACTCTCATACATTCCCCTCTTTGCCTCCAAGGACAAAGTTCTTTGTCTCCACAGACTCCTAAGTGCACCACTCACCCTTTTTCCCCTCATCAATTCTATGATTCACCTCATCTTCCATAGACCCATCCGCTGACACGTCCACTCCCAAATATCTGAATACATTCACCTCCTCCATACTCTCTCCCTCCAATCTGATATCCAATCTTTCATCACCTAATCTTTTTGTTATCCTCATAACCTTACTCTTTCCTGTATTCACTTTCAATTTTCTTCTTTTGCACACCCTACCAAATTCATCCACCAATCTCTGCAACTTCTCTTCAGAATCTCCCAAGAGCACAGTGTCATCAGCAAAGAGCAACTGTGACAACTCCCACTTTATGTGTGATTCTTTATCTTTTAACTCCACGCCTCTTGCCAAGACCCTCGCATTCACTTCTCTTACAACCCCATCTATAAATATATTAAACAACCACGGTGACATCACACATCCCTGTCTAAGGCCCACTTTTACTGGGAAATAATTTCCCTCTTTCCTACACACTCTAACTTGAGCCTCACTATCCTCGTAAAAACTCTTCACTGCTTTCAGTAACCTACCTCCTACACCATACACCTGCAACATCTGCCACATTGCCCCCCTATCCACCCTGTCATACGCCTTTTCCAAATCCATAAATGCCACAAAGACCTCTTTAGCCTTATCTAAATACTGTTCACTTATATGTTTCACTGTAAACACCTGGTCCACACACCCCCTACCTTTCCTAAAGCCTCCTTGTTCATCTGCTATCCTATTCTCCGTCTTACTCTTAATTCTTTCAATAATAACTATCATACACTTTACCAGGTATACTCTACAGACTTATCCCCCTATAATTTTTGCACTCTCTTTTATCCCCTTTGCCTTTATACAAAGGAACTATGCATGCTCTCTGCCAATCCCTAGGTACCTAATACATTACCATATTTAAACAGGAAAAGAGGAGTGGGGCATTTTCTAGAACCCAATTCCCAGACAATATTACCATACTTGAGGACAGGGAGGGAGGGAGGGAGGGGGTGAGCAAGCAAGAGGGAGGGAGGAGGCAAGCAAGAGGGAGGGAGGGGGCAAGCAAGAGGGAGGAGGGGAGCAAGTGAGAGGGAGAAAAAAAAAAGGGGGAGGGGGGAGGTCCACAAGGCAAGCTTAACCCTTTGACTGTTTTGGTCGTATATATACATCTTATGAGCCAATGTGTTTGACGTACATACACTCAAAAATTCTAGCGGCTTCAAATCAAGCAGGAGAAAGCTGGTAGGCCCACATGTGAGAGAATGTATCTGTGTGGTCAGTGTGCTGAGTATTAAAAAATCCTGCAGCACGCAGTGCATAATAGGGAAAAAAAAACTGACCATGTTTTTGGATTAAAATGC